TGGTGCTTAACAAAGTAAATGTGATATGCATTCCTATTATACAATTATGGTATAATGGTGTATGATGGAAAAAAATAATAAGGCATTTGAGAAAAGGGGTATGTTATGGACATTCCTATTGTATAACAAGGTACAATGGTGTTTGAGTTTAAAAATTCTTAAATACATGTCTCTACATGTATGGAAAGAAAATGTTGGTTCACTAGCTTGATTTGATATCAAAATTGGGGTACCATGAATTGAGAATTTGAGAAATGTGAATGTGAATTTTTTGAGCTATTAGACATGTGGGTTGATGTGAAAAAGTGAGAAAAAGAATGAGTTGAATCTGTTTTTACCCACTATACCTTCAACTAGGCCTTTCGTAAAGAGAAAAGTCGAAGGAAAATCTATGATCATAATCCAAGGTTTAGTGCTCATCAAGGGGGATGAGATTCAAGCTCAATAATATAAAACTTCCTATGAAGATACCCAACCCAAACTCTAAGAATTGGGTTTTGAATGGGAAAAACAAATCATAGAGAAGTCGTTGTTGAAAGATGTATCAATATTTAATGGAAAAAAATTTCTAGCCCCACTCCTAAGGTAAGGATGCATCTATCCTATAACAAATTGAGAGTTGAGTTATATAATCTTAATGAAATTTGTAACTCATAAAGTGAGGTGTCTTAGTTATGGCAACACTCTTAACAAATTTTACCTATGTGGGTGTCGAAGTGAGGCAGTTTCTATGAGAATTGGATGGGCAATTTTCTAGATTACCCATGTAAACTAAGATCATGCACAAGGCCATAATGCACCAGTTGTGTGAAAAATTCAACATTCAAATCATTGTGTATGATACAATTCTTATATCTTTCAATGGAGTCATAGTTCAAGGCTTAGTTCACTATTGACTTTGGATTAAGAATTGTTAACTCATTAAGAAAAGGTTTTAGGCTTAACTACCTTTATTATGCATAATAATCTATCTTTGCCCAAATGAAAGATTTATTTTTATCAAAACAATGAGAGAATTGTTAGAACTTAAATATTTTAATAAAAAATAAAATAATATATTTTATAAATTGAATTTATTGTTTCATGAAGGACTTATTCAAAGCAGCCATTATAGGTTAATTGTCCTATTTAAGGGCACATTATTTCATAATAATTGTTGAATTTATTCCTATTATTAACCTACAAATGGGAGTTACAAGATCATGAGTTCTATAAATAGGACATGTCTATTTGCTCAAAAAGAGAGTTCCACCACATTCTTCTATTTTTCTTACCTTACTTTATCTTCTAAATATTCCTGGGTAAAGAATGGTGTTTTGAGTTATAGGACTATATGTGTAATGCAAATTCATAGAGAATAATTATAAAATTGTAGCATCAGGGGACGACATGCTATATATATATATATATATATATCTATTGCATTGATTGATCTACTCTCCGCAAAAGCATGAATCACTTTAAAATAAGTAAACTTTTCACGTCTATTTAAATGATATTTTATTATTGATGTTTCTTGATAAGTTTACTAATTATTATTTTATTTTATTTTCTGACCAAAGCACAATAATAACATGATGTAAAGATAAAGAAGAATGTTCGAGGAACAACATATCTCGATAAGTTTAATTCTTGACAATGATCAGAAACTACATTAATTTAGAAGAACTTGATTGTGAACAGAGCACTGAAAAACAGCGTAAAGATTTTGCTACTCTTTGATACCACTGTGAGTTTTATTTGTCACAAGAAAAAATTTCGAATATTTTTTTAGCTATTTGCTAATGGAGTAAAATGGTTGTGGACAATAATTTTGTTTTTGAAAATCAAACGGACAAGAAAAATTACATAAAAAAATTTTTATATTAATATAAAATTTGTGAGTACAGTCTTTTAATAAACAAAGAATTTAAGGTAATTCTCTTATTTGATCTTTTAATTGATGTAGATCTCAATGAGAACTTGAATGAAATTTAATCTTGATGAAAGAAAAGTTTGAAAAGAATCTAAAAGTTTGAAAGTTTCTACAATATTTGAGACAAAGTTTCTACAATATTCGAGACGTAATTGCTATTGAGTGCTTGTGCCTCTCTTCAGAGTTACGTCTTCTCTCTGGAATAGGGTTCCTCTGTTTATTGTGAATACCTCCATTTATAAGTAAATGAAGGAGGCATCTTTTAAGGAATATTTCAACATATGTTAATCAAGCAGTACAATTTACCTTGTATCTTGATTATATTTAATTTACATAAAACATGTATTATTGTTTTATTTAATTATATGTTTTAATTTATTTTATTTTAATAAAACATAATATTTTATCACAATATCTTATTTGTAGATTTTGATTTGATGTGACCGACAACACACATGAACCTAATTGGAAAAGTGGACTTTTTTATTCTTCCCCATTTGGCATTTCAGGAAAAAATTGAGTTATATCATTTCATGGTGAATTTGCGAAATTTTGGGCTAAGCTAGATTTGAATCAGTGTAGACATATTGTCAATGAATTTACAGTCCGTCCCCGTTAACCGCTGCGAGCATCGACCCAAGAGGAATCAGTTCTAGCTTTATTGATAATCCACGATCAACTTCCCTTTCGTAGTATCCTTCCCCTACTACCCCCAAGGGAAAGGGAGATGTCCTAAATCACTAGACGATGTCCACATGATTTAAGAATTGAGAAATTTTTCGTGTCTATAATGGTATTTATTCGTCTCATTTTAGTGATTATTAAAATGAATTCTTATAGTTTTTATTGTATTTCTTAATAATAAAAAGGTTGAATAAAATTAACTCTTTTATATTTTAATTGAAAATAAATTAACTAACATTTAACAAATAATGTAATTATAAGTCATATATTATTCCAAATTTCCAACTTCTCCGTTCAATATATGTTAAAAGTCTTGCTAATTTGATAATTTTGGGCGTTTTTTTAATGGTATGACTTTTTCTTTTCTCAACATTTCATAATGGCATGAAATTCTTTTTTTATTTTTTTATTTTCTTATCTTTGCATTTTCTATTTTTTTTTTTTTTTTTTTAATTTTCTTATCTTTGCATTTTCTACTGACATGATATGTGAAACTCTTCCTAATTTGGCTATTTTTGGCTTATTTTTACATGACATTTACTTTTCTTAGCACTTTCTAATGATATTTTTTTTTTTCATATCAAGTTAACTATTAAAAAAGAGTTAATCAATCTCATTTGGCTATCTATAAAAAGGATGCTATGTTATTAAAAAACTAAGCCCAACATTGCAAAATTAGCAAAAGCTATACAGGTAATGAAGGGAAAAGATGAAACGATGCAGTATGATTATTTTGTTTGTAATTTTGACTAATTTATTTTAATCAAAATGTAGGAAGATTAATTTTATTTAACTTGAAAGTACAAGAAGAAATTTATTTCAAAAAGGATAGGATCCATTTCAATAATTCTTAAAAGTAGAAAAATAAATATATCCTTAATGTATTTTCTAATTGTGCAAGGATTTTTGTTTGCTATAATCCCTAAAGAGTTTAGTGTTTATTAGCTAAGTCTTCAAAATATCAGAGGACAAACTCATCATTAAAATTATATAATTTATATAAACATTATGACAAAAGAATAAAACAAACTCAATTTTAATTTAAAAACATATTATTTTAGTGTTTTTAATAAAATTTTTTAAAATAACATAATTTAAAAGTTTTTAAAAAACTTTTTAGTTATAATTTTAAAATTTTTTTTT